GAAACGGACACAAGTACTCAAATGTTACACTGGCTTGGGGAGGTGGGTGAGGGGGAAAATTCTCAAATGATAATTATTGGCTATCAACTGCTTGGTCTATGTAATCATCCTCACCCCAGTGATAATATACTTTGCATTTTTGACTCCTACTTCTATTACAACCAGCTCAAAAAAAGAGGGAGAACAGCAGCAAAGCCATGTACAATTACAGTGAAACAAGACGACACTCTCTGCTTGAAGCATTGTTAAAAATTACATTTAGTGCAGTGACAGGAATTTCCTCCAGGTCAGCTGGTAGCCAACACATGCCATATCACAGATAACAATTTTCCCCATATGGGTGTAATTGCAGGACTTATAACAAGCAATTTCCACTGTGTGGACTACTGAGTGCTGGACATTTTGTTTAGCTCCCGGCACAGAATTGCCTATGCACTGAGTTGTCTTTCTCCCTCTGCAGTGTATTTTCTCTGTGATTGCTCATTGGAACAGGCCCACTGACTCAGAGTTGTCAACATCAGCAAACGTTAGTGACACTTGTGATCAGCAAGATTGACATGTATTGCAACCCAATCAAAGCATATGCAGCTTTGTTTCTCTGTAAGAATGACACACATCAAAATAGGTTTCATTTTTAAAGCAGACTGGGTGTTTGTCATTCCTAATGAGTGACACTTACATGGACTGCTATAATTATACCCACAGAATGCAGTTCCATTCCATTAGTGACAAGGCTCAGGTGCCCAGGGAGCTGACTCTCTGCTGTCGATACCATCAGCTTCTGCTAGCTTTGTGCTGTAGTGTGGGCAGAAAAAGGAGAAAACAAAGTGTATTGGGGTCAATATTACTGCTGAAGTGTGCCCTTATCCCTGCTGACTATCTCCTTTCTGTATGCCTTCCAACTATCTCTACTTTGTTACTAGGAGATGGAACGTAGCCAGTATTTAGACTTTATCCATCGCTTGCAAATATGAACCCTGGTTACAGTCAGCTCATCCACTAGCAGAACCTCTGCTTGTAACCACTAGGCAAACACCCAGTCTGCTATTCCTGAAATATACTATACTGCATTTGTTCACTTTGTGTGTCCACTGTATGCGAGAGAGTTCAATCTTAACATTTATCTCAAACTATTCAATCACAGACCAGGATCAATTTATTTTATTCTAAATATACAAATGTTGCATTTTTATGGACCTTTCGTGTTTGTTTAGAAGATTCAAACTACCAGTTTGATTTTAAATGTCATAAAAAAGATTGTGATCGACCATTTAATAACATCAAAAGGCAACCTGTTCAAAGTTCCCAAGACACTCAATGCACCGCATGACAGCTTTGAGCAGGGCAAACCTCACTGCTCCTGTTACCACTTCTTCCCAGGAGGTGTTAGGAGCAGGCCTCCAGTGCTATTGATGCTGGCTGATTCCCAACTGATCCTGCAAGCTTGGCAATGAATCCCTGCCAAATCGTGGTGTTTCACTCCAAAAGGTGCAATATAAACACAGCAATACATTAGTGAGCTTTGTGAACTGTGCGACACAATGGGCTTGTGTGCTTTTCCTTGTACATCTGGGGCTTGAATTCAAATGCAGCCTCTTGAGGTGTCCTAAATGAAATGATTCAGTCTGTCACAGCCCAGTTCTCAGTGGGCATGGTTCCACAGAATAAAACTCCCCATAATTCACCACTAATGAAAAATAAATTGTCAGCTCCACACAGTAAGGCTGCCAATTGTATGGGAAACAGAACTGTGTCACTAATAAAGCATAGGAAAGTGCATGTGGGGGGTGGAGGTGGGGGGAAGGAGAAAATCTAACCAAGTCCAGATTGACTCCATTTACATGGCATTTTAGAACACATCCAGAATTTGGCAAATGTTGAATTCAATCTTAATTGAAGTTTGTTTTCTGTAGGGCTGAAAAGAAAACTTAAAGCAAACCAGATTTGTCTAAGAAATTCAGAACTTACTGAAACACCATTTAAATAGAGGCAAAAATCAATGAAAAGCCAGGTTGGAATTTCTCCCTCAAGGGATGCTTCTGAAGTTAGGATTAAAGCCCATTGCTAGTTTACAGTAAATGCTTCTAACCTGTACTAAATCTGACTTGAGCGATTGATGTGAACACTCAATACAAAATGATGGTCTATATCCAGTAAAGACATCCCTCATCTTTATGAGCACAAAAAAACAAGATATCACAGACTTTTTGAGAGCGCACAATGCCCTTTTGAATACTAATAGGTATTTAGTGTACTTCTGAAATTTCTTTATAAAACTAAAATAAATATCTAAGAAATTTTAGACCCTTCAAATTGGCTTTGTGGTGCACAAGAACTGATTTTTAAATGTTGCCAATTCTAGCGAAACACAACCATTCCCAGTTCAACCTGCTCAGTTTACTCGTGCTTATTTATTTGGGCAGGGCACAGCACACTATTTGCTGGGTTATACCTATTTCTAGCTCAGTGACAAAGTGCGAGATAGGTTATGTGTTTGGGTACAGCCTGGAAGTCACCATCGCCAGAAGTGAAGTGCAGCCTATAAGTAAAATGTTTAATCCATCGCCTGCCTTTTCTTTATCACCTTCACCAAATTGAAACAATTATAATTTTTACTGTTAATGATGTAAGTAGAAATAGTATTATGTGCCAAATTAAAGAGGTAGTATAAGCATAAGTAGATTCTTGACCCAAGAAAGAGAAGGTCCTATATCCAACAGGGATGAGCACTAATCTGAAGTGACAACCCAAACTGAGGCAAATTGGATTACTCTAAAAGTGTAATATTGTCTGAATTGGGATTTCTTTCGGGTGGCCTGTCCCTTTAAAATAATTGGCTATAGAAGGGAAGAGGAGGAGGCAAAACATAGCCTTTTCTCACATCTCAAATGATGGCTGGGGTTGCAACTGGTACGTAACCAGGTAAATAACAGTGACGTTATATTTTTCATTACTTGTTTCTTGGCTTGTAGATATTTTTATGGTGTTTTTCTGGGTGGTGTGTGTGTTTAAGGCAAGACCAGACCAGACAGGACCTGGTTGCTGGTGAATCTCAACATTATCTCACTGATCTGCCGACTTTTGATCTCACAATATGGATTATGGGAGGCTCTGAAGTTTTAAATTTCTCAAAGCAAAGTCCTAATTTGTTTAAATGCTCATTCCACAAACTGAACATGTTGAGGCTTTTGCTCCCAGCACACATCTCTGGCAGGAGTACAGAATTCCTCATTCCTATGAAAGTCAGCACATTGCTATGCATTAATGATCTCCATACAGTGACAATTTCGAACAGGATTCCTTATAGAAGCACTCAAGAGTCGCAAATGGAAGATTCCTTATGATAACCAGAAGGATGTCACACTGATCCAACCCATGGGAATCGTTCTCCAATGCATTGCAGACCCCTTTGCAACTCTGTGATCATCCTGTTATTTGGGGTAATCAGAAAACAGAGACCCAGTGCTTGGTTTATCCTGTATTGCAGACTGGTTATAACACTGAACTGATCACAGCATTGGGCAAAAGAGACACTACTACATCAGACTCTGTGTGAGCTGCTGGCGAGCTGCAGCCTGTTTAGAAACCCAAGGCATCAACCAGATTGTAAACTGATCAGCCAGTGTGCTGAGATGCCAGCAAACACCAACAGCGTTTTACTATAGCGTCTTTCACGTCGGGAGGACGTCCCAAGGCACTGGATTGGGAAACTCCGAAGTTTGAAATCTCTCAAAGCAAAGTCCTAATTTGCTAAGAGTGGTTTTTCATGCAGTGTGCAAACTGATTCTCTCTGGTTCCCGATCCCCATCTGAATGCTTATTTGATACGGGAGCCTAAGCCATGATCTCAGCAAGTAATACAGGGGAACTTCACAACAGTGCACAGGACACTCACTCACACCCGATCCGACGCTTTGCTCCTTGAAGCTGAATTACAAATCTTCCCATTATTTCTGGCTCGACATACGAGATGCTCACCAGCACATGCAGGTAACTAATCCTGCAAATGCTTCAATAATCCCCTTTGGAAAAAAAACAAGGGAAAGACACACAGGGATGTATTGCTCGGCGGCTTTGCTGATTTGAGTGCCAGATTCCCTTCTCTGGGAGTTCAAGACCAAAATCTCAGTCACTGGGATCGTTCAAACCTCACTGTTTTCTGTCTGTGGGCATGTTGGTGCCAGCTCCTGCTTGGGCTGCTGGATGGAGCACTTTCTAGGGACACCGCTTTCAGTCTCAGAGAGGGGAAAAGCACACATCAGGACCAGTCCTGCTCCAGAGAAACAAGACTTCCCTCTGTTTGCTCACTGAGGAGGGTTAGACACGAGTCACTGAGATACCTTCGGTCTCAGTCCATCCCTACACTAACTGTCTCAGTCCATCCCTGCACTAACTGTCTCAGTCCATCCCTACACTAACTGTCTCAGTCCATCCCTACACTAACTGTCTCAGTCCATCCCTACACTAACTGTCTCAGTCCATCCCTACACTAACTGTCTCAGTCCATCCCTGCACTAACTGTCTCAGTCCATCCCTGCACTAACTGTCTCAGTCCATCCCTGCACTAACTGTCTCAGTCCATCCCTACACTAACTGTCTCAGTCCATCCCTACACTAACTGTCTCAGTCCATCCCTACACTAACTGTCTCAGTCCATCCCTACACTAACTGTCTCAATCCATCCCTGCACTAACTGTCTCAGTCCATCCCTGCACTAACTGTCTCAGTCCATCCCTACACTAACTGTCTCGGTGGGTGGTAGCAGTAGGGATCTGACAGTGAAGACACAAAGTAAAAAAAAATACATATTTTGTTTTACACCTTCCTCCCCTCCCACGTCCACCACATTTGTTTTCAAACAATACATAGTAAAAGTCTCCCAAGGGGAACAATCCGAGAAAAAAAAAATCACCGTAAAAGCCATCAGTTAAAAACATCATCATTTGCAATCCAGTTCAAAAATGATTGATTGAGGACCCTTTTTTTGTGCATTTGTCCTACCTGGTCGCCACACATATACAGACTGAAACTCTTCTTCTGCTTGTGCCTTAACATCCCAGATCCCAAAGGCCAGGGCTAACACCACACCAAAGTGTTGTGCTGAGAGAGCACAGTTCTTTGAACATCTGAAAGAAGTGGTGCGTGTTCTCCTTAGTCTCATAGCTCCAGACACAGCAGGGGCTGCTTGCTTCAGTGTTACTCCAGTTCCGCAGACAAAGGATATTGTAACCCCTTTCCCTGGTAGCAATGCTTCTTTCTTGTCTTCACTTTATATTCCCCTTTTGATGGGACAGTCTCACACGCTCTGCATGCAGGAGGCTCTTCCCGGGGAGGTTGCCTGCCTGAAGTGCGAAAATGAGATGTCTGTCATCAGCAAACAATAAAGACCTGAAGTGCAGAAGCTCTTTTTGTTTTCCCTCCTGGCAGTCAGTGTGTGGCTAGCGGCAGGTTTCCATCAGCTGAGTCAAGCAGCTGTCCACATGGGGCTCTGGCTGATACAGTGGGTCACTCGGGTCTTGTCTGCGGCAGCAGTCAGTCACTGGGGCAATTCACACCAGCTGCACAGAGAGAGGGAAAGAAGCAAACCCTGTAATGCCACTGTCTCGATATGCTGCATAATGATGCTTTCTGCACCCATAAGCATGTGGTAAAGGCACATAGCAAGTGCGTGTCTGCACCTGCACCTCCCAGAAACTCAAATGTAGGGGGAAGGATTTCCAGGGACCGTCCCCCTGGGAGGGCTGTCATTTTTCAACCCTCCCCTCATCCAGCCTTTTCACATGTATTAGATTAAAATGCATTGATCATATAATTCCCACTCACAGCCTGGTTACGTATTCTGACACCGCAGCAAATTAGCAGTGAGGATGCTGCACATTCATTTTTTTTTGTTTATCTTCCACTTTTCACCTCTAAGAGGGAATTAAAGGCTCAGGAAGGCTGGCAGTGTGTCCATATGATCACCCCAGATAAGCACGTGTGGATTACCTTTCCTCAGCTGTCAGAAAACAAGCAACAATCATAAGATTATCAGCAGATAAAGAAGGGCATTGAGAAACTGTATTGCTGCAGCCTTGGTGTGTCCCAGTTAGAGACTGAGAATTAAGTCGAACCAGCAATAGCTATTCCAAGGCTGTACAACACTGTAACGCTGAGAGCTTCGTTTAATCGGGACAGGCAACTGTGCAATGACACTCTCTATTTTGTAGCAGTCTGGGTCACAAAATCTCAATCATTCCAATGTGGTTCACTGCAGTTTCGAGAGATAACCTTGATCTTTCTGAGAATTGAACGGTTTTCACAATGCAAACCCACCCCCACACACATTCACAGCTGAATATCCTGCAGATTTTTTTGCAATGATCAATTGAATGCATGCTGACTAGAATACAAATTTACATTTATATAGCATATTTCACGTCGGGAGGACGTGCTAAGGTGCTTAACAATACTGGCTTGGCATCTCCGAGTTAGTCGGGTGGGTAGAGTTAGAGGTGGGGAGGGGAAGGATGACTGAAAACAAGGTCAAAGAGATAGATCTTGAGATGGACCAAATGGCTAAAAGCATTGTGAACATGATGACTGGCTGGTTAAATGTGAATCAATTGCTGCAACGTAAATGAGCTGGAAATATTTTAGTTAAGAGCTTCATGGTAAAAGTTGGTGGGAATAATAACAAACTAGGAACAACGTGGACATTGGGAAACAACCAATGTCAGCATCTTCAGTGATAGGAAACACTGTAATAAGAACATATGGAAAAGCTTCACAGATAATAGTAACAAACGGAAGGGAAGGTGGGGGAAATAGCTGATAAAACATCAAACATATGTTGGAAAGAGATGTGGTTGTTGCTCCATCCTTCAGAGGGTTTTATGCAGAAGTGGCTCCATCAATTGATAAACATATTTCAATTGCTCAGATGTTAAATGTGAAAACAAAAACTACTTTCTGGGATTGATGTCAATTAGCAGACTTCCATCTATACAAAACCTGAATAATTGGTTATATATTTTAAATGATTATTCAGACCAGTTCTACATATACTGTCGCCGGTAACTATTCTCGAAGATGCAAAACTAGGGATAACATTTTAGAATGAAGTAGCACAGTATGTTATACAAAATGCAAATAATATGATAATAATCCTTACTTTTGATATAGCACCTTTCACTTGGGAGGGTTTCTTGGAGTGCTTCACAGAATATACTGTAAAGTATAGGGACTGTATTTATAGGCAAATACAGCAGCCAATTTGTGAATGATAATGTTCCACAAAGAACCATGAAGTGAATGATATTTTAAAACATATTTGGAAGATCATCATTTCTACCTGTTCAGGTGAATGTTAAAGATCCCATGGTACTATTCAAAAAGTCAAGGGAGTTTCTCCCAATGTCCTGGCCAACAATTCCCCAAATAAAATTGATCACTCCTTCCTTGGCTGTTTGTGCAACAGTGTTATGCTGTCATTGCTGCCACATTTACCTATAAATACATAGTCATTGCACTTTACAATAAAATTGTGTGAAACGCTTTGAGAAGTCTTGATGACGTGCTGAAGCACTAAATCAAATGCAATAATTATTATTGTTGTTGGCGAAACTCCTTTATCTTTTAAAAGCAATGCTACGGGATCTATAACATCCTCCTGAACAAGCAAAATGGCTGTGGTTTAATGTCTCACCCTACAATGCACCTTCTACATTGCAGGAACTCCCCACCCCACCCAGCACTGCACTGACCGTAAGCCTAGATTGCAAGTTCAAATTCCTGACATGGGGCTCGAACCCACAACCTCGTGACTCAGAGGCGAGCGTGCTACTGTTTGAACCAGGCTGGTACCTGCATCACTTTAATCAATTTATTATTAGTGTCCATGTTATATATTTAAGAGGAGCACAGATTTTAAGGTTAGATAAGGTGCTATCCCATTGCCTTTGTGGCTCTGCTAAATGTTGTTTGTGCATGATTCATGCCATTTTGTGGCACTCAGTCAGTTTACCATTTTCACCTCCGCCCAGTCACAGGTTCCCTAGGTGCTGTCAGTAGGTGGTTTGCGCTGATTCATACTGAACACACCAGCTTTGGTAACTATACTGACATGTGGGAAGCATGATAAAACAACAATACACCAAGGGAAAAATGCCATACTTGCAAACTCCCTGATCTGTTTGCAAAGTTTTCCACTTCACTTCATGGCTCACTGAGTAAATGGTGCCATTTGTCAACGGTTGAGCCTTGCACACAGGACCAGTCCCAGGTTCAATTCCCCATCTACCTCAGCCAAAGAGGCGTGGGGGAGCATGAGCTACAATTAGAGTCAGTGCCTTCAGGCCAAACAACCATTGACCTGCTGGAAACTGTACTTTGCGTCTATTGGGAAAGAATGGGATTATTGGGAAAGAACAGTGACTCCAACTCACCTGGTTAAGTATCCTTTGACTTTTCATTGTCTAAGTTCATACAAAAATGGCCATTTGGGTGAGATAGTGGGGATTGATGAAGGGAATTGTACATGAGGAAGCCAATGAGGAGGGTTGCCCACAAACATACAGTCAATTCACTTTACAGTGTATTCTGTGAAGCGCTTTGGGACGTCCTCCCGACGTGAAAAGCGCTATATCAAATTCAAGGATTATTATTATTATTATTTGAAAAAATAAGCAAAGTAACAGAAGAGGAAGAGAGGAAAAAGGGAGAACATTGGATGAAAAATATATCTCTCTTATTTCTCTGCGCAATCTATGATTTAGCATAAAATAATCCCTCAAATACCCTGAAATCATTTATTCCCTAAATCTTTGAAAAATACAGCTTGTCAATTTATTGTCTGGTGCATGAGTACATGACCATTCACCTCCATGTCACAGCGGTTGGGTCCAGAACCTAAGTTGTGCATTGAAGTACCAGTCTGCAGATCATGGCATTGAATTGCTAGATATCATCTTCACCCAACAAAAAATACAGAGTAAAGTTAGTAATGCCTCTGATTGGCAGGCCAACAAAATGTCTGAAGTTAGTCATTGACAAACACTGAGAAGGAGACGGATAGTGGGAGAATGAGGATGGTGACTAGAGCCACAGTCATAGTTAGGTTTCTGAAGGCTTTTGAACATACAAATGGAGCGAGATGGAGAGGTTGAAACATGATTGAGGGTCTTGGTAGAATTAGGCATGAGATAGGATGCGGAGGGGCAAAGTGGCAGAAATGTGGTTCTGATTAGAGATTACATGTGAGGAAGAGAAGAGAGTTCAGTGAGCTGGTGAGAGAGGTTGTGAGGGTTGAGGAAACAAGGAGGAATTGGCAGGAGCTGTGGAGGTTAGCTTCTGTCTTGTCCAATTTTATCTCTCAGGTCTTATTCAGATTGAGATAGCCCAGTATTCTTTGATTAAGCTCAGAACATCCATTTTCAAAAATAATTCAGAACCCAAGTTCAATTCAATCCTCAGCTCTCTTTCCTCCGCTGATTCTCTGATCCATACCACATTTCCACAATTTTACCACTGCCTGTATTTCTTCTTTACATCCAAATGTGCAAAGACTCTCATTCATAGCTTTGTCACTTTCAGATCTGATTTATCAAATAGCACCCCAAGCTTTTCAGATACCTCTCATTATTCAGAAAGCAAGCAGGTTATTTCAAAACGCATTTTAAATAAGAAAAAAAATGTGTTTCAGAATACCACAATTTTGACTCCAAAATGTATTCCACGCTGTGGGATCACAGACTGATTGAAGTGTTGGTTTATACAAGTTAAATTAAAAATCAATAATTCAGGTCAGTGAAGTAACGCATCTCCAATGTGTATATGCTAGTGACCACTGCTAAACAGAACTGTTAAAACACAGAAACGCGACAGAATAAATGGAATAAGTCACATGGGATCACTGAATATGTTGTTCTTTCACATGCATGAGAGACCTACATCACTCACAGGCACCTGCAGCACTTGTGAGTTATGGGTCTGCCACACTCATGAAGGAATCACTATATGTAAAAGTCCACGGTGAGGTACTCTCTGCTTGCTTAGAAAAATGTCACGTTACCCTTATATCACACATCTCCTGAAAGAGCTGCAGTGTGATATGTTCATTCAACTCCCTTCAGGTAGCTTCAAACTGGAGCAAAAACACATTTATAACCCCTTGCCTCCTCCCCGGGATTTCCACTTCCAGAATACTCACCCTATCATCCTCCCATCACAACATCAAGCTGTTTTTTTTAAATGAGTCCAGTGTCCTGGCTTTAACCACCCTTCCTGTTCCAGTTGTTAATTACCCTCTAGCTAAAGGAAAGCCTCCTGAAATTACCCTTTACAATTCCACACCGATGTCCTCTTGTTCTACTGCCTTGGTGCATCCCAAAGTAATGATCTATTGTTTGCCTGCCAGGAGCCCAATAGGCTCTTTCCCTCACACT